ATTTAGATATCATTACATAATGTCCGATTGAACAGTGTCCGATTCTATTGTGTCCCATTAAACAGTGTCCGATTGAACCGTGTCTAATAATAACTTTTTACGTCCAAAAGTTCTGTATTTAAAAGTACTGTGTCCAAATGACACATGTCCAATTGTGCCATGTTTAATGTTACGTGTTCATTGGCAATGTGTCTATTTGCAATATGTCGCATTTCGGCGATGGCGGATACATTTGAAGGAGCGCTTAGACCGTTGAGGTTTAAAAGCCTCTCGAAGAGTACTCTCGGTTGATTCACTATGAGAGAAAAGGATAAATAAGTAAAGAGAGGAGAGAAACATATTAAAGAGAAAGAAAGGAGAGAGAGAGAGAGAGAGAGAAGAGAGAGAGAGAGAGAGTGTTCTAATTACTAATCATGAACCCGGAGAGGCCCGATTAGCGGGAGAAATTAGAGTGGAGTAATAAAAGATAGTAAAAGCAGAAGTTCACTGATTTCGGCGGCCATGAATCTTAAAAGCCTTTTGTAATATTAGAAACTCGAGAGGTCCACAGCAGAAAGTAAGACAGAAAGAAAGGAATGATCTAAGAAAGACGAAGAAAAAGAAATGGAAGGATAATCCCAAAAGGTTTATAATCGCGATTAAATTGAATTTAATTGAGGACTTACTGCTTGTAATTGACGTGGACAAAGAATTTGACGTGAGAAAAATTTTTAACAAATTGCGCTTCTCTCCCAGAACGTTGTCGTTGATTGAAGTTAATAAATTTCACTAACTCTAAGTTACAATGTCGAAAAAAGGTTGACTGAGAATGAAACCTGTGAATGAATGAATGACACGATGTAACTCTAATGAAGGGTTAATGAAATAGGCTCCATTTGTACAGGGTTTGATTCTTTTTGTTCAGGAAGAATGACGGTAGTATGAGATCTTGAGTATGAGTTGGGTAGGAGTGTTGTTTACATTAAATATCATTACTTGTTCGTGTCTATCATATGTTTGTGTGCAGCATTCGGACATCCAACAGGTCCGACTTGAGAATTAATAAAAAAAATTCCTTGCGTATTCCCTTTAAATAAAGAAAAAAATTTATTATAGTATATGCTTTAATGATCATCATGATTACAAACCTTTCTCTTGCTTCTTGAAATATGTTAATTTTCGCTTATGTTAATTTTCGCAATAACATCTTATTAATGAAAGGAAATCAATATTATATTAATTGCGCATTTTAAGAAAGAAAAGAATCGTGAAGTCCATTAGACGTAATAATATTATCTATCAATTTTTCTGCTCCCTTCCCACTAATGCTTTTGTTCCTTTTTTTTAGCATTGCATAATTTCGTACCTATATGTGTTCAAAGCATTTTTTTTTCGATGACATAATTTTCTATATATCATAACCTCTCAAACAGATTTAAACGTCTTACTGTCTCCATCTCCTACATATTTTTTATACTTTACTAGGTATTGGATCTATGCATAATTTCGTAGCGAAAATCGAGTAAATTTCAAACACAAATATTTAGCAAAAAAAGCAATTTTAATCAACTAAATATGTTCCATTCTGTTCAATGACTTTCTGCCATCTTTCCATGAGCTTCATTATTCCTCTTTCATAGAAGTCCTGAGATTTTTGGGCAAAGAAGTCATCCAAGTAGTTTTTAAGGACATCCAGGGAATTAAAGGTTTTGTTATTTAAATTGTTCTGTAGCGCCCGGAACAAGTGATAGTCTGAAGGTCCGGATTATACGGTGGGTGCACCAAAACATCTCATCCAAGCCGCAATAATTTTTGCCGGGTCATCAGAGTGGTCTAGCGTTGTCCTGGTGGAACACAACGCCCTTTCTGTTCGGGCCGTTTCTGATCGATTGCTCGCTTTAATTTGGCCAGTTGTGAACAGTACTTGGTCGAATCATCGTTTTGTTGGCAGTAGTTCATAATAGACAATTCCTTTCCAATTCCATCAGATACTGAGCATCTTCTTCGGGTGTAATCCAGCCTTTGCGACCGTCTGAGCAGCCTCTGAGCGCTTCGACCATGATCTTTTTCGATTGACATTGTTGTAGACAATCCACTTTTCATCGCCAGTGATCATCCGCTTTAAAAATGATTCGTTTTGATGGCGTTTAAGCAACGAATTGCAAGCTGAAATTCGGTCCATTAAATTCTTTTCGCTCAGTAGGTGTGGCATCCAAACTTATTTATCACTACTTATTTATCAAGCTTATTTACCATCCCAAACTTCCATAAATGTCTCGAAACAGTTGATTGATCAATGTTGAGATTGTGTCCAATTTCTGTAATCGTCAAATGTCGGTTGGAGTCGATTAAAGTCTTGATTTGATCGACATCAGTAGTGACTGGTCGATCAGAGCGAGGAGCATCTTAGGGATCAAATCTCTGCAACGAAATTTCGCAAACCATTTCCGACACACACTTTCGCTTACGGCATTCTCTCCGTACGCGACATATCTTTTTGTGAGTTTGTGACGCGTTTTTGCCTTTTCGGAAATAAAAAAGCGAAAATACACTGAAATACGTTTTTTCCTTCCATGTTCAAAATATAAATAAACTTCATATACGTCACGGATCTCGATGAATATTTTTTTAAAATGTCGGCATAAATTTTAGCTTTCACTTAATGTACGACATATGTTTGACACATGTGCGAGCGGAAAAACAATTGCGAATGACATTTGTTGGAATTTCGCTACGGAATTATGCATAGACCCAATACTTAGCTATCGATCATAAGAACATTTCTTTTATCGCATCCATTTTTATTTTGTTAGCAGAACCTTCATGGTTGTTCATGCATTCATCATTGTGACTATTTTTCCAATCTTTGTATTCCGCAGTGCCAGATTTACTTTTTCATAAATTGCAAGCTTGACAAAAATTCGATTTCACAACTATATCAATTATTTTATTACTGTATATGTCAACGAGCGTGATGACACCAATAGAGAGTTGAAACCTCTTTTCTTTCATGTGCCATCTCCAGATATAGCCATTTCCGATGATGGTGAATTATCGTACTCAGCATTCGTTTTCTTCTCTTTTTCGACTACTTTTTTCATCATGATATTATAAACTGTTTCATTTGCACAATAAATATTTTAGAGACATGCATAATAAGTATTCAGAATAATTGGTCTTTGACCAATATCCATAATACCGTAAAATAAATCAAGACCCTTTTTACCAACGCCTATAAATCGCATGACAAAAACTATTTTCAATTTATTTCAAAAGCATTAACAATCAAAGGATATGAGTTTATATGTCACACCGCAACTGCATTCCACTATTCTTGATCCTTAATCCAGGACTTATTTCACTGAATGTCTTTTTTACACTTTTTACAAATAACGAACGCACTGATAGAAAAAGTCGAAATAAGGTTGAGGATATTATAGCCGTGTTCTCTGCTAATACGAAATTCGTCGTTTTCAGTTTTATGTAATTTTTCTGCTGATGTACTGGCGAAACTAGCTCAGCTTCGAAAATGTATCGATTTTCACAAAATTTTCTTCTTTTCGGCGTTCCCTTATGCATCTGACCGCCTCGTTTAAATTTTTTATCCATAATCTTATTCCAAAAACGCATTTATTTCGTGCTGAATTCGAGAATATACTGCTCTTTTGTAATGGAAATTTTGAACGAAGTTTAAAAAGGTCACAAAAGATCATCCTATATACGGCACCATTTGACTACGTGGAGTAATACTACTTGACGCACTTGACGAAAAATCCACCACACAATCGACGCGCATATGGAGACTGCGTCTTTTAAACCTGGATAACTCAGTCAATTTGACGCATTTCATTTTAATATTTTATGGGCACATTTTAAAGACTCCAAACTATAAAATTATACAAAAAAAATTTGACCCGTCATACTAGAATACTCCCCTAAGGGTAATAATAAATTATTAAAAGGAGATGTCACAAAAACATTAAAATTTTTATACAAACGATCAAAATGCTAATGAAAATCGACATTAATAATAAATAATGCAGTGCAATGCGAATAAAAACAATATTTTATAAATTTTATAAATTTATTTTTTTCTAAATAATCTACCATCTTTCGCTTTAACATATTTCTCTTCGCTTTAATATATATTGATGTTATATTTTCTATTTATAACCTGTTGCCCATCTAAAGTAAACAAAATTAATTATTACAAAAAATTTAAAATTGTGTTAAATAACTAGAAAAAAAATTTTGAAATACTTTTCAATAAAATTATTCTTTGTCCAATATGTATTTCATATTTTATTCGTATTTAATATCAGTATATTTATTTAAAAATACTGATGTATTTTTATAACCTTTTTTAATTTCTTAAGAGAAATAAATGAAATCATGATGTCATTGTACACATTTCAATTAT